CCCCCAGTCCCCACCCTCCCCCCCACCGCAGGGTGAGGCTGGGCATCCAGGTCTGCGTTTCTCCTGAAAGGCCCATGTTCTCCTCTCCTCCTCAGCTGAACAGGCCCAAAGTGAACAGGATAGTTGAGATCCTGGAAAAAGCCCAAAGCTGCTACTGGCCAGCCCTGCAGAACGTGTACTTGAACGTCACTGACGGTGAGCGGGGACCCCAGGATGCTGCCGGTGCCTCCCAGAGGGCCTGGGGCAGGGCACCAACCCCGGGGCTCGGCTGCCCCCCCCCCAGGAGCAGCTTCCAGGCCCCCACACAGGAAGCTCCTGTGTGTGTTTTAAATACATTTTTATTGGTTTCAGAGAAGGGAGATGGAGCGAGAGATAGAAACAGCAACGCTGAGAGAATCACTGGCCGGCTGCCTCCTGCACGCCCCACACTGGGGATGGAGCCCACAACCTGGGCCTGTGCCGTGACCGCGAATCGTACCGTGGCCTCCTGGTTCATAGGTCGATGCTCGACCACTGAGCCACACAGGCCGGGCGAAGCTGCTGTGTTTGGAGGGAGCAGGGCTCCCTAACACAGAGCCCGCGGGTTTTGTCTGACCAGCGGCGTGGCTGGTGTTCTCTCCCGTGGGAATGCGCCCTTGACCTTGACCTTGACCTTGCTGGTTGTGTGCAGGGCTGAAGGAGGCCAATGACATTGTCCTGCACCTGAAGCCTCTGCGGATCCTGCTGGAGGAGATGGAGCAGGCGGACTTCACGGCGGTGCGTCCGCGTCAGCGAGAGGAAGGCCGTCGGCAGGGCGGGGCTTGCGTCCCGGGAGCGGGGCAGTGGGCGGCCGACCAGTGCCTCTCCCTCCGCGCTGGGGTCTCTGCGGGGACAGCTGAGATGACACGACCGAGCACTCCGCGTGTCCCCGCAGCTCCCGACCTTCATCGCCAAGGTGCTGTACACCATCTGCCTCATCTGGGCCAACTCCAAGCACTACAACACGCCCTCCAGGGTCATCGTCATCCTGCAGGAGTTCTGCAACCAGGTCATGGACATGGTAGGCCCCCTGCCCACCGCCCGCAGGGCGCGCACAGGCCCCGGCTGGCTGGCGCAGGGCGCGCATAGGCCCCGGGGGCCACCGGAGCTCTCCTGGGACCTGGGCTCTGCCAGCCCCGCATGTTGGAGGGAGGAGCCAAGGAAGGGGCTCTGCCTCCCGCCCCAAGGCGGGGCCAGGGCTCTGTGGGGTCCCGGTCCTGTACTGAGCTGCCTCGTCTCCCTCAACCCGAGGCCCTTCCCTTCTCCTCTGCACCAGCTGCCCACCTGCCTGTGGGCATTCAGATGGCATCCACAGCCCTGTCTGCAGGCCCCTCCGGGCACTGCAGCCCGGACCCGCCCCCCATACCTCCCTGCAGCCCGCAGCAGGTTGTCCCAGCCCCACCGGGAGGGTCTAGTTGCCTGTGGGGCCACCTGGCAGGCGGCGGGCGGCGGGTGGGTTGTGTCCCTAGAAGCAGGTCCCGGCCCACGGTGGCTGGTCTCCTACCTGCCTGCCAGCCCCGGGGCCGTGTGCCCGGCAGGGCTGTGCCACGCCCTGTCTTCCCGCAGACGCGGACCTACCTGGGCCCGGACGAGGTGCTGAAAGGGCTGCAGGGGGAGATCGAGGAGGTGCTGAACGGCATCTCCCTGTCGGTGTCCGTGCTCAAGGGGCTGTACCGCACCTACCAGTTCTGCTGCGCCAACATGAAGCTCTTCTTCAAGGTGCCGAGCGGAGCCGCGGGCAGCGGGCGGGCCGCCCAGGTGGGGGCGGGCGAAGGTGGGGGCAGGCTCAGCCTCTCTCTCTCTCTCCTTCTGTCCACCCCCGCCGCCCCCACCCAGGACAAGGAGCCGGTGCCTTGGGAATTCCCGTCTTCTCTCGCGTTTTCCAGAATGAATTCTTTCTTCCGTCGCATCCAGACCATTGAGGTAAAGGTGAAGCCGGGCTCCCCTCGCCTGCACGTCAGGGCGGCCCTCACCTGAGGACAGAGGACTGCGGCGTCTTCCATCCCCACCCCCACCCCCACTCCTCCCTCCCATCCATGTCACGGGGGGCTGTCAGCCGTGCTCCGAGCCGTGGCTCCTGCCTGTGGGCAGCTAATGACACAAATGCCTGCAGTCGGGGAGCAAATTAAACCCTAAAGGGTTCAGGTGCCCCCTGGGGAGCAGAGGGGGGATGCGAGGGTCAGACAGCTCGGCCTCTGGTCTTGTCATCTCCAGGGTTTTGTTTTTTTCTAACTTTGTGAACATAGTGTGCCCACCAGGCAAAGGGGAGCCGTCCCGGAGGCATGAGCGTGGACTCTGTGAGGGCGCCCCTGGCCTCAGCCACGCCCTCACCCCATCTTTTCTACATCCTTTGCCGCACCCCCTCAGGCTCACCGAACCCTTGGCTGTGCTGGCACAGCACAGATGTGACCTGGTGAAATTAAATGCATGACCGAAATTCACTCAAGTTCTACTGGAAAAAGAATTCTTTCTTATTTAAAGAGAAAAGCAATACTGAGATTATCCTGGCTGTTCAGCCCCACCCTGTGGGCCGTGGCGGCCAGGCTGGATCCTCAGGGGGCAGAGCCCGGCACCGGGCGTGGCCGAGCGCCCACCTTGGTTCCAAGACTGTGGCTCTGAGACAAGCTGATGGGCGGGCACCCCGGCTGCTGCCTCCGCCAGGACCTTTACAAAACGGCCATCGAGTTCCTGAAGCTGGAGAAGATCGAGCTGGGCGGCGTGCGCGGCAGCATCCTGGGCAGCCTGGTCGTGCAGATCCACGAGGAGGTCTTCGAGCTGGTGAAGGTCTTCATTGACTGCAAATACGACCCCTTGGACCCGGAAGACTCGGTGGGTGGGGGCCCTGACTGGGGCAATGGCAGAGGCCCCCGGAGCGGGAGGCACGCGGCGGGGCGTG